AACCCATGTATATATTTATTTGATTTCACTTGAGCAATACGAATAGTGTGTAATATATCTCTATTTGATTTCACATGCTATTCGTACTGTTCAGGTGAAATCAAATAAATAGATACATGGATTTAAAAAAATTTATTCACACACATGATCAATAAAAGATGAAAAAATTCATTTTGAAAAATGTGAAGGATGAAAAAATTCATTTTGTGAAATGTAAGGGACGAAAAAATTTATTTTATGAAATGTGAGGGATTATGAATCGAATTATATAAAATTTGATTAGACAAATTTGCCCTTAAAATATGATCACGTGTAAGGCACGTGGTGAATTTCGACCAAAAACTAGTCGGAAACCTAAGTAGGGATCAAATTTGACCAATATGAATTTGTAAGGGACGTAAAATTACATTTTTTAAAGCGAGGGACGAAAAAAGTTAGTTTGCAAAATGTGAGGGACGTTTTGAATGATTTTCCCATTATATAATTCAACTTTTCTTGTCCCCTTTTTTTTATTCTTTTATATATATATTTTTTAAAAAATTAATCTCCTATACAATGATATTACGTACAGTAACAAATTTAATGCATGTCACATATGCAAAAATTTAAATTTTAAATTAGAATTAAAATTAATTGCCATGCATCCAATCTTGGCGGTATGTAAAAGATTTATTTTTTTTATAAATATACAAATTTATTATACATATTGATTTAGAGCGAAGCTTCCACTCCATAATTATTAAGTATGTACACGCCGCCCTCATCTTTATTCATTGTACGGTACCGAATAGCAAAACCAATGGTTGACTTGCAACACCGTGATTGACTGATAGATAAGTTATCACAGAGGGGAGTTGCACCGTCCACGATTCACAAGAATTATCCAAAGGAAGAAACAAAAACTGTAAAACTTTGATACTCCTTTGAGCTGGCTTCTTTGTGTCTCCACTCTTCGTCCTCGCTGCAACGTCTTTTTCATATGCAAAATTGGCTATTTACCTCTTTCATCTCCTTTTCCTCCTGTCTGAGCATATACACGATCAATGGTCCTTTTTTTTTTTTTTTTTTAAAAATTACGTTATCAGTGACGCTTTAGCTTGACACTAACTATACAGACTATCATTAATTTGGGAGGTAATATATATTCACGGTTCGATCGATGGACATAAGAAATAATGCTTCAAGTTAGTACGGTCTTAACTTTTTTTTCTTTGGTAATTTATTGAAACAACAGCCTTGTAACCTTTGTTTAGCTATTCAACAAAATGGTTATTATGGACTGTAGGATAAGTCTATTAGGAACAATTATCACTCAAAATAATTGTTTAGGTAGTAGACTGTGATTATCTCATGTATCATATATTAATTGGACTCAAGATTGATATGCCTAGTGTACCATCTATGAATAAAAATGAGATTGATGGAATGAAAGTGTACATTGTCTTTAACCCTTTTAGCTTCCATTTGTTATTTTTGTCCCCAAGTTTTTATATCAATCTCTCTTTTGTGATATGTTTTAGTTATGGATTTGATTCTGACGATACACTAATATAAGCACCACCGTTCGTGATTGTACATAGTTTTGATGAATTCTTGAGAACTAAATTAAGAGCTATTTATTATGAGGTACAAACTTAATAATCATCTCTTATCATATATATAGGTAATTAAGAATTACTTATGGCACACACTAAAAGGTCCCAAAACAATTGAAAACAAAAAAGAAGAGAATGCTTAACAGGCTTGACGTTTGAAGTTACACTTTAATCATCCCCATCTCTGCATTTATTCCATCTCGGTTAGCCACTAAGTCCGGAACACAATTTTTTTTTAAAAATAATTTATCTGATAAAACAACAAATATGTGCTAGTCAGATATAAAAAGAAATAAAAGGTTTCCAGATACATCAAATATATTGACCAAGGAATTAATTAAAAAAAACGAATAAAAGCATCAGTGTCGCCGCATCTTGGTGCATTTTTTTTAGGGACTGAAATGCAAAAGTTTTCAAATTGTGTCAAAAAAAAATTAAAAAATGAATATGGAATTTCATGGTCGCCACACAGCTCAATTGCAGCGACCCTATACGAAGAAATGGTGCTGATATTTCCTTGTTTTGTGACGTTTTTTTTTCTCACATTAGTTCTAGAAATTTGCCCTCTAAAGAATGTCCAATTCAATTCAAGAATCACGCATTGATGCCTATATGAGAAATGGTGCTGATATTTCCTAGATTTGTGACGTTTTGTTTTTCCTCACAATAGTGCTAGACTGCAAGAAATTTGCCCACTAACGAATGCCCGATTCAATTCAAGAATCACGCATGGCATCCACCTCACTATGCAGAGAGACAGAAATTTGCCCTCAGCCAATGCCAAATTCAACGAGAATCACACATGGTATCCAGATCACTATCTTATCTCTCACGCGGATGCGGACACGAGAATGTCAGAAGTAAGACCGTTTCGACTCTGGAGGACCCGATTGTAGGGAAAAGGCAAAAAAAAGATTCAAAATGTCTTCAGTAACAAGGTTAGAGGTTTCTGCTGTCACCGGTGATTACAGCGCGATATATTGTAGATATAATAATATAACAGATGTAGAGACTAACATACGAAATGTAAATGTTAACATAATAAGATAAAAAAATATATAATAAACTTTTGGATGCCAATTTCAAGATGTTAAAAAATTTATTGTATTTTGTAGAGCAAATTATTTGGATGGGACCAAATTTTTGGAATCGTTAAGTTTTGGCTATTAAACTGTTAAAAGTCTGATTTTGACCATTGAACTATCTAAAGTTTATATTTCGAGTAATTCTATTAGATTTAATCGTTAAACTTGAAAAATTTGAGTGCTCACATAATTCATGAGACAAAAGAAAGCAGCATAATTAACGATTAAATCGAATATAATGGCCCGAAATCTAAATTTTAGCTAGTTCAGTGGTTAAAACTAGACTTTTAATAATTAAGTGATCAAAACTCGATGATTCCAAAAGTTTAGTGGCCATCTGGATAATTTGCTTTATTTTGTATTAATGTCTATATTTATTATAGGGTTTTTCCAATGGATAGATGCTCCTAGATCACTCTTTTAACACACCTATATTCCATTCAACCTAATGTACATCTATACGCTAATAATTACTAGTTTTTCTTGCCCTTATATGATTTTTCTAATTAATCCCTTTGCATTTATATGTTTTTCCTAATTAATTTTATATTTCTAAAAATTTGACATTTGAAATACATTTCAAGGATTGTCAGGTTATTAGTATTTGTTATAATACTGTCTGTAATGTATAGTGCTGTCACCATCCAATAAGAACAAACTCCAGCTATTGTCTGGAGTATATCCAATAAGATCATGTACCTATACAGAGCATATCCACCCATTCCTACAGCAGCCACACGAAGGATAATAACCGGAATAAAGCTCCAGCTGGAAGTAGGGGTGGAGTTGAGCCGAGTCGAGCTCGAGTAGTACCATACTCGAGCTCGAGCTCGAAGGTTATGAGTACTGCTCGAGCTCGAACAAGCCTCAAACTTCGGACTCGAACTCGACTCGATGTAATTAAAGAGAACTCGAGCTCGAACTCGTATAAGATTCGAGCTCGAGTACTCGAACTAAGCTCGTAAAATGAGCTCGAAAACATTTGTTTTCTAAACCAGAATTCAGCAAAAATTGAGCGCAAAAAACTGTGCTATCCTTCAATATAGCAATTCATATTAAAACATGCATTTTGCTTCATTTCAACGCAAATGCCAACCATGTGATTCAAGCACTCTAAAAGCAACATTATCAAACTAGTTAATATGATAGAAAAAATGATAGTTTCTCAATAGCCAAAATAGCCATGTAAGCAAAAGAAATAGAGAACTTGATATTAATAGCATTTAGTCACAATACACTGAACTCTGTATCATTTGAGATCAAGTTCTCTATACAACATTCTATTAAGATCCATTGCCAAGATTCTATACAGCAACTCATGTACAGATTTTAGTCAAAAATCAAAATACAACCTGGTAGTATCTATACAACATTCACTTGAGTCAAAGAAATCACCAGATTCACTATAGCTATGCAGATTTGAGTCCAAAGTCAAAAGTCAAAACACAACTTGGCAGCCACAGCTTGTCAACAGTCAAAAAAATCTCCAGATTCACCAAAGTTGTACAGATTTGAGTCAAAAAAGTCAAAACACAACTGGCAACCACAGCTTGTCAAGTGTCAACATTCGCTTGAGTAAAAAAGTCACCAAATTCACTATAGCTGTACAGATTTGAGACAAGTCATTTGAGATGTTAACTGCATAGAGTTCAGATTCCAAAATTCCAAGTTTCTAACACCTATTGCCAACCAAAAAAATATAAGTCCTGTCAAATATCACCAAAGACAAAAAATGAATCAAATTAAGGTACAAAATTATCGAGAACTCTAGATAACGCACAATGCCAGACCTGATTCAACATGAGCCCTTTCCAATAGACCTTCAAATCTTGGGCAATTCAATTTCTTTGATTATTTTAGCTTGCTGCATTTACAATAAAAACCACCCAAGGCAAATAATTTAGAAAGAAAAAAAGTCATAACTTGTTGAACTTGGCCACAAAAGTTGAATGATAAAACAATAAAACTTACTTTCACTTTCTTTGAGATCCCGTGAAGCTTTCTACACCAGTCCCCTGCACACAACAACACTTGAACCGTATCTGGATGAAGGGAAGCACGATAGCTATCAATAACTCGAGTTCCGGCACTAAATGTGGCCTCAAATGCCACTGTAGTTACAGGAATAGCCAAGATGTCAGCCGCCATTTCGGACAATATTGGATACGCAACCCTATTGCTTTTCCACCACTCCAAACAATCATAGGCATTTGGGTTGGAACTAGTCTTTAGGCGAGCCTTTTCTAAATAATCCACCAATTCAGATTTTTGTGGCTCAGTAGTCTCCATTTTGTCACAGTACTCATCAAAATCAACCCACCTAGAAGAAGATGTTGCATTTTTTTTGTGGCCCTTCTGAAGCACATGAGTGGACTGCATTTTCATTTCCAGTTGCATTCAAATTTGCATACTCATCATAAAGCTCAAATAAAGCTTTCTTCACGCTGAAAATATGTTCTTGTGCCTCAAAAGATGGAAACATTTGAGGGAAGGCAAATTCAACAACTCTCATTTTCTGCCTTGGATCTAAAATGGCAGCAATAGCCATTAACAAATTGCATTCGCCCCAATATTTGTCGAACTTGGCCTTCATCTTTCTAATCATAGCTCGGATGAAGTCATTTTCATCATTTTCTCGAGAATCTAAGACTTTCTTAATTTTCACAACCTCTTGAAGGAATAAATTGCTCGTAGGATATTCACTCCTGGATATCACATGCGTGGCTGCCCAAAATTTCTCTAACACAGAGCACACTTTTTCTGCTTTTTCCCAATCCTCATAAGCTGGACAGGAATCATAGAGTGGATCTCTATCTTGAAAACGAGGAAAAACATCTTTGAACTTCATAGCACAGCTTAGCATTTCGAAGGTGGCATTCCATCTTATTCGACAATCATAAAGCAACTTTTTCCCGGGTATTTGAAGTTGTTGTGCAATCTCAGCGAACAACAATAATCTGGTCTCTGAGAGATTGACAAAATCGACGTTGTCCCTAATTTTGTTTACAATGTCCGCAATCTCAGAAAGGCCGACTTGAACAATAAGGTTCAAGATGTGCGCACAGCATCGAACATGAAACAACTTGCCGCCACCTAATAGTTTCTTCGATCTACTAAAATCTTCCCGCTAAACTCTAATAGCCACATCATTGGCTGAAGCATTATCAACTGAAATTGTGTGTATTTTTTCCTCAATACCCCAATCCTTCACACACTTGAAGAGTGAAGCAGCAATCTCAACCCCTTGTCTAGGAGGTGGTATGTGAACAAAGTTGAGCACTCTCTTTTGTAGCTTCCAATCTGAGTCAATCCAATGGCCAGTAATAACCATATATTCGATCTTTTGATTTTTAGATTTCCAAAGATCGGTTGTGAGGCTTACCTTTTTCACATTTCTCAACTTTTTCTTCAGCTTCTTTTTCTCAAGTTCATAGACTGCCACACAATCATTTTTTGCTACTCCTCTAATGATCTTTTGCCACTCGGGCATGCCACGCTTTAGGAAAATATTCAAACCTTCTTCTTCAAGAATGGTGAAGGGATGTTCGTGCATCACAATCCAATGTGCAGCGGCTTCTCTCATTTTCTCCATGTCAAATTTTCCGATATGCAACGGTGGTATAGAAGGAAATGCATCATCAGCCGGCTGAAAGTTCAGTTTCGTTTGTTGTGCAGCTTGTCTTAAACTTGCTTTTCTAGATGGACATGAGTTTCGGTGCCGCCACAAGCTAGTTGTTTGCTTTGATTTACCCCTCGATAGCTTTTTATTGCAGTAACGGCAAATGGCATAGTAATTGCCATTTTTTTCAAATTCGTTGAAGTCCTCCCAAGCTTCAGAAGTTTTATTCCGTTTTGGAATATGGAATTCATCATCTTCATCTAATTTATCATTTTCTCCTTCTTCATTGTTATCGTCAATAACCACAGCTTCTTGTCCTTCTTGTATATTACCCAAAGGAGTACTTTGTGTAATTGGATTAGTCATCATGTTTCCTGGATTCATCGTTGACTCATTGGAGACAAATATTGGGTTGTCCAATATCAATGGAGTACATGAATCAGCATTGGAAACCAGTGGGATACAAGAAATCTCAGGTTGACTGCCCTTGTCTTGGGTTGACATCAGTCCATAAACACATGCAGTCCAAGGCTCCAAGCTAAAGAAAGACAACAAATTTTCAAATCAGGGCAAGGAAGTTTTCAAGCTAAAGAAAGACACATCCATTAACGGAGGCTCTCACCATAAATTTCAGAGACTTTTAGGGTGTAAACAAAACTATTTTAAAAAAAACTTGCTCTGATAATTATTTAGAGAAGTTTTAGGCATATGAATTAAATAAAGAATACATTTTTTGAGGTTCTGCTGATAATTCTTTTCAGTAATGAAAAGATTAAACCTGCTACATTTCATTAATCACACTTTGATCATCAACAAATGTATAAATCTGTATTAATCACAGTAATCAGATGCTCAAAATACTCTTCCTACATTTTTTTCAAAGGCTTAAAATAAAAACAACTTTCAACTGTCTCAAATATCTTTTGACTTACGCTAAAGGAATTTCATACTTGTGTTGCTTCATCCCTGCTTTTTATCATACTTGGCAAATCCATACATACCTGCCCTTATACTTGTGTTGCTTCATCCTTAACTTTATACTTTTGTTAGCTAGGACCAACTAAACCAATTATAGAAAGTTCAAATATTGTTCTAGATATGCTAACATGGAGGTCAGATGACACGTACTGAAGAAAAACTTTAGGAGTTCCACTCTTAGAAACATGAACAATATGAAATCAGCAATGCTCATTAATCAATATGGTTGTTTCTTAGCTTTTGCTGGGTATCATGCTGTTGACGTGCCTTGGCAGCATTCAGACCTTTGCCAACAGGCTCAAGAGAAAACAAGTGATTCCTCTAGCAAAAAGAAAAAAAAAAAACCTTGCTCGTATCCAATTTATGAGAAATTGCACAGAAAGACAGAAATAATAAATCAATCTTTAACCCAAAATTCTCTCTTTGAAGACTCTTCACTAAACAGCCAGTGGGTGGCAGAGATTCAAGAGAAGGAGAAGAAAAAATAAAAGGTCGGAGAAGACGAGGAGGCTTTCATATCAGATGCACGGGTTGTGGTGACCAAATCTAAATACAATAACCAACAATTTCAGCAACAAGCTTAAAATACAAATTTTCCTCACGTTTTCCTTACCAGTATGCTTAAATGCTTAATACATAATACAACCAAGTTCTTACCCGCATCCTTAATACATAAATTCAAAAAGGAGAAGGAGATTCTGAACTTACAGGCGGATTCAAAAGCTACCGGTGATGGATAAGCAAATCAATAGCTGCTCTGGGAAGCTTCAACGAGCTAGCAACAGAGACACGACTTGGGAGTTGGAAAGAGGAAGAAAGGCTCGATGGGAAATGGGAAATGGGAAGTGGGAAGTGGGAACTGGCTGAAAGGCTAGAAAGGCTGAAACTGAAAGGCTGAAAGGCTAGAAAGGCTAGCGATGGGAAGTCTGGGCGGGAAGTAGGAACTTTTTTTTTTTTTTTGAGCAAAACTCTCAGATATATATATGTGTATATAAATATAGAAAATCCACTGTCCAATATTTACATGATACGCAAGGGCAACGTATAACTTCAATCATTCCACAGCCTTCCCTTCCAAGAGACTCGAAAAGTCAGGAAATAGCAACAAAAGAAGGGATACTACAAGATTACAGCAGTCAAATAACAGAGGCTTTTTGGCACAATTTTAGCTGCTGAGTCTGAACCTTGTCTTCATTCCCATGTAACTGATATCATGGAGTTAGCAAGCCCTGATGCCTCGAATGTTAAATCTATGTTGTAGTCCAAGGACTTGGACCCAGGGATAGCTTGTGTCAAGCGAAATGGCCTTGTCTTGGCTTCCTCCAACTGAGAACAGCAGAATGACCACAACAACTGAATTGGGAAGTAGGAACTTGACTATTCTTTTTAGTATAATTATCACTTCACCCATAATTATTCCTCAGAATTTATTTAATAATATTAGTAATTTTATATATAATTTTTTTTAAATTTTTTATGCGATACTCGATAAAGCTCTTCGAGCTTTCGAGTATCAAATTTATGGGCTCGAGCTCGACTCGATAGCTCTATCGAGCAGCTCGAGATCGAGCTCGAGCTCGAGCTTTTGGCCGAGCACATATCGAGCTCGAGTCGAGCTCCTTGACTCAGCTCCACCCCTAGCTGGAAGCCGTTTTCCCCTCTTTCCCTACATTTTTTTTGGGCAAGGAAGGCGGGAAGTCCTAGTGGCATTTTGGTCAACGAGCTTCACAAAACACAAAGCAATCAGAGTCAACAGACCATTATAAATATTTAAGGGATAATTTCAAAACCTTCCTTGAAATTTTGTCTAATATCACTTAGCACCTCTAAAAATTTTGAAATATAACTTATCTCCTCGTTAGTTAGATGGGACCACTAATCACCATCAATACATATGGATTGACAAAATTACCCTTGCTAACTTAACCATTCTTTAGGCAAATAAATATAGAAGAGAAAACCAAAATCATTAAAATACAATGGCTATTTCAATATTTTTGGCACTACAGCATTTTGCTATTTGATCTTCCTATGCGAGCTAGGTATTAATTATCCTTGATATTATAATAATTATTTAGTCCAATAACATATAATAAAATCTAAATTTATAAAGACAATGGCTACTCGAACAATTGTACTTAATTACCATTATCCTGCCAAATTTCTTAGCCTTCCTATATGAACTTTATATTAAAGCACCTTTATTAAAGCTAACATTTATATAGGCCAAAAAAGGGTTGGATGTGAAAATACTTAACATCACGGTTCCCTTACGTTTGTTGTTTTATGCCAATCTTATATTTACTAACTTATGCAAAAGAAACGGACAAAAAAGAACCAAAATCTATAGATTTGGCGATTTTAATAATTATTTTTTCCCAAACATCCCCGTCCTCAACTTTTAGTTTTCTTATGTCAATATTAAATCAAATTATCCTCACTATTCTAACCATTATATATGTGAAAAAATAAAAAGTAGAAGATAATAAATATAAATCTATAAAAAAAAATAGATAATCTAATACTTGTATTGCATTCAAACATCTCTCTTCGCCACATTTTTAGTCTTTATATGCCAATCTTTTAATTAAGTTTCCTTTGTTATTTTAACAATTATGTAAGAAAAAAAATCTGGAAATAAACGAAGATAGAAAAAAATAGTATTCTACCAATTATTGTTGCACTCAACACTTCCTTCAATCATTTTTAGTTCTCCATGCAAATATCTGTTAGAAATCAATTTGGAAAAAAAATTTTCAAAATAGGACAATACAAAAGGGCAAAGTTGGAATAAAAATACATCTATCTCTATAAATGGTTATTTTTAAAATATTTTTATGATGCAGGGGTGAGTTTGTTGCAAAACATATGATTTTAGCAGAGACTAGTGATTGTTTTTGAAACTTCAAGTGCACTAAATGATACTAGGCTAAACCTCAAGGGAAGTTTCCAAACTTATCCCAATATTAAAAGGGAAAATTTAATAAACTTACCTTGAGGTTTTTGACAGTTGCACTTGACACCCCTTAACTTTGAAGAATATTGCTTGCGTCACCTAATTTTAACTTTTTGTAACATTTCCAATCCATTTCAAAGTATATTATTTAAAAACTTATTTTCAATAGAGAAGATGTTGTCCTACTTTTTTCCAAAATTACAATCATGTAATGAAAGGTTGAAAATAAAGACAAACTATGCAAATATATAATGCTGATGGGATTTGTATGAAAATGATAGTTTAACATACAAAAAAAATTGGTTTTAAGGACATATTGACGAGGCTCTAACCTACGTTTTAAATTTTAGCCTAATTTCCTCATTCACTGCAAGTATATAAGTCATGGCTCGCAGTATTAGTGAGCTAGAATCAATCTTATTAGGATCATTTGCAACTACTAAAGCTTTCAGCTCATTCTATTATCTAAACTAATCAAGAATTTTATCTAAAGTAAAATAACCACAATGCTAGGAAAATTAACAATTTGAAGAAATTCAACTAAATAAAAATGCCTAGGGTATAGAATCCACTAAATGCACCCAACTATGGATAAAATAGTCAATTATCACTAATGCTCTTGTTATGCTAAGGATACATTTTACTCAAATCATCGGAACTCACTCTCGCCAATGAACCGAATTTAGCCAACACTATAGTTTCCCTACTCTCATGGTGAAATCCAAAGTGAAGACTTAATCTAGATCTAGAAATGCCAAAAACATCCACCTAACTATACCACTACTTTTGTGTGCCTACTCCTTAGATTCCACCTATTCCATTTTCATCATTGTCAACTATTCTCATAGATTAACAACAATTATCATGGCTTGTAAATGGTAATCAAACATTCACAAGTGTTAAAACACGAATAAATGAACTAGCAAGTACAAGATATAGCAATAATCAACTTTATTCAACCATAATTAAGGCACAAATAGCTTCATCTATCCCTAGAACAAGAAGATTTAACTAGGCATAGTAAATTTAACAATAAAGCTCATATTTTCAATGTAATTAAACATTAATGAGACAACAAAAAGAGTAAAGAGAAAGAAATGCTTATTCAACTGAAGAAATAAGATCTTCAAATTTCACCATTTTCATTGTCATAAAAAATACATTGTTACATCAAGAGTTCTTTAAGAAAAATGAAAACTAGATCTAAAACTATACTAAACTAAACTAGAGAGCAAACAGAAGAAAAAGTTCTTCTTCTTATCAAGAGCTAATCTCTCCCCTTAATAATGTCTTTCTTCCTTGTTAAGAGTCAAGAAAAGAAGCTCTTAGATTCCTCAAAAGTTGGTACAAGTTGCCCCTTTTTGTCTTGGCAAAAATGGAGAAAAACATAAAAGTCATGCAAGTTGGCAACTTGTAGTTGTCATGAATCCCTCGAGAGATTCTTCCAGGGATTATACAGAGCATGTGATTCTCTACAAAATGAGCACTTTGCCTATAATCCCTAGCAAGATCTACAGAGTAACCCTCAAGGGTTTCTTTTTTTTTTTTTTTTTTTTTTTTTTTTTGAAGA